AATGTTTCATATAAAAACAAAATCATCTAATTAATTAAACATTATATGATTTATAAATATATTTATTATTCACATATATTTTTAAATAGACGAGAAAAATTTACCTATAAATTCGATTGTGTTTTTTATTCCAAACAATCTGATTGCCGAAAAATTTTCCTTATAACTTGAATTGAAAATTTGAAATTCAAAATCGCTTCTCATTTTAGTTGCCATAAAATTAGGTTTAATTCAAACCTCTTCCTAATATAAAAGATTTTGTTCATATTGAATTTCAAAAATATCTAATCACATGCTTCTATCCATATCCTTAAATGAAGGATTTTGTGCCGCTTTAAATTAACAAACCTATTGGAAATTACAAAAATCATAATGAATTTCCATTTTTTTGGTTTCAATCTGCACGAAATTTAAAATGGTTTAAAAATTTCAAATTAATTGAAATTCATCTCTTTAATTTTTTCCATAAGTTTTAAAATTTTACAATAATTAAGTCAAATTACAAATGCATTGTTTAAAAAATCAAGAGGATAATTTTGAAAATAGACATTTTTTTTTTCAAAATTGTCTTAGTCTCCGTTCAATAAATCTACATAAAGCATGAAATTTTATGTTTACAAAATTTCTTTTCACAGTAACTAAAAAATAATAATATTTTTGAAACTTTTGTGCTCAAATTACTTAAAAGAATAATAATAATAATTTTGAAAATTTTTGTACTCATATTACTCAAAAGAATAATAATAATAATAATAATAATAATAATAATAATAATAATAATAATAATTTTGAAATCTCTATACTCAAATTTTACGGTAGTATCGTCATTATTTTTAGGTAAATTTTCAATATTGAAATATTGAAATCTTCAATATTTATTTTATATATACTAGGTAAATTTTCCTTCAAAAATTTTATAATCTATTTATTTAGGCTTATAATATTTTATCATGTCATATTTATAAAATATCTTTCATACAAATATAAACTTTAATATTTTTAGATATATTTTTCTTTACAAAATAGTTTAGAAAAGTTGTAGGTGACTTCACATCTTTTAATAATAATATAGAAAATTTTAAATAATTTTACATATGTTAATACAATATTTTAGGAGTTTTTAATTGTTTAAATTTACAAATTTTATGTTCTCTTGAACAAGCTAATTTTATATAGTTTATAATAAATTGATGTACCGTAAATTATATAAAATGTTAACCCCACATCGTTAATTTATAATTATTATTTAATATCGTTTACCCTCATCTTTAATTTATAATATATTTTCTTGCTCTTTTAAGAGAGGATCAATAGTGGTTCCCCACTTCTTTCATTGGGTGACTCGAACTCGGTGACTCGAACTCGATACTTATTTATAATTATTATTTAATATTGTTTACCTGTGCGATGCACGAGATACGCACTAGTTAGTAATATGATAATAGTATATATTTGAAATTGTTGCAAGTTTAAACTAGAATATTGTATACTTAATGTGTTGTAAAATTGAAAAGTCATTCGTCCACTATTCTCCTTGTTTTACATACAGACTTAATAAAGTATTTTAGTGTAATATGCAATTTTAACTCAATATTATCCATGCAGTTTGCATATTTATTATGTATTATTATCAATTGAAGCACAGTAATAATAGTATAATTTTTTTTTTTTTTTTTTTTTTTAAATGATGCTAATATTCTGCTCTTGACAAAATCCTTCTTAATAAGTAAGGTGTTCTTTTTGCATAAAAAAATACTCAGACAAATGGCCATGTTTCTTTTTTCGCTTTTTGGCCAAACCGCTATTTTAGCGTTTTTGATCGAGCCAAAAACGCTAAAATTATGTTAATGTGCATGTTTGGTTAAATAGCTTTTCCATTCAGCTTTTTGTACAAAAAGCTATATTTGAAACGCCAAACACAACAGCGTTTCACGGCGGTTTGTTTAAATGAACCAATTTCTTTTTCCTTTAAAATGATATTTTTCTTTTTCCATTACAATTAGTCAAATGGATGCTCGGCCCATTTTTTTCTTTTTTTTTTTTTCCTTTACATTATCAACGTCTAGTATTATATCGAATATTGATACAACTTGAATGGAAAGCTATGTTTTTAATTATGGTTGTTATTATTATGCAAATAATTTTATTTATTTATTTTTTTTATTATTATTATTATTTTTTTTTACTTTAGTTGTGTTTGAATGCCTTCATTGTGTTTATTTACTTTTATTATATTTTAAATCACTTTAGTGAATACTTAAAAAAAAATTATGACTTTCATTTCCTAAATAATTATAAGCTGAATATAAATATGAATGATAAAGTATGTTGATGTCCTTAAGTATTTTACATATTAATAACTAATTAAAATAAAATTTTTTACCAAAGACTCTGTTACAAATGGCTAACACAATCAGTTGGTCATTTAGGTAATTATAACAATGATTGATTAAAAAATATTAAATTACTATAATATTGTTAAAAGTAATTAAAAATATTGGTAATTATTTAAAATATTTGATTACCAAATATAATTTAATTAGCACATTTACTTTCTTGCGTTTATTTCATGCAGTGTTGCGATTAGTTCTTTTAAATTTTAGTTATGGGCTATTTGAAAGATAAGGATGTAAATTTTGTTGTCATTTTCAAATATCAATTTATATTTAAGTACATTAACACACATTTTTATATTTTTAATTTATATTCTTTCTATTATTATACTTTAATTATAGTAAGTATGAAAACTTAATTTAATTTAAGAATAATTTTAATTGTTGTTGATACAAAAAATAATTACATAAATACGATGGTATTTATTGCTTTTTAAATATTTATATATTTAACAACAAGTAAGTTAATAATATTAAATATATTTTTACAAATCAATCAGCTATCTATCTAAACATCTTTTTTAGAACCGCTAACAGTATCAGCTAGTCAAAACAACCAATACTAACAACTGGTCAAAACAGCTATTATAATCCGCTACAGCTAATAGCTAATTACAAAACAAGGTCAATAACTACATAGGATCATCTAATAATAATAATAATAATAATAATAATCTTATTTGGGTGCAAATAAGGTATCACGGACATAGTTCTGAACAATTGAAAATGAAGATTACGTTAATGATTCAACATCCATTTGAATATTATAATCAACTTAATTATTATTATTTTGGTTAGATTTTTTTGTTTTTTAATTTTTGCAAATGTTATTTTCTTAGGATACTTAGGGCGTAATTCGACATGGATTCGATTGATTTTTAATTAATTTTTTTGTTAATCATAGTTAATTTTAAAAAAAGTGGTATGATTAGTTGTTAGTGGGAAATTAAATTTACATTATTATAATACTTAAAATAAAATAATTAAATTTGATTTGATGTAAAATAGGATAAAAAATATTGGAAGTGATGGTTAGTTAAAATTATGTGACCGGATGAATACTGAATTGAAATTGATGCGATATGTAAGAATGATTGATTGATGTATTTAATTAGATTGATAATATTGAAGATAGTGAGGCTGAGTTTGGGTTCAGATTGTTCTACTGTATAGGCCTTCTGCATTTTCGGTAGCGGCTTCTGGGCCTTGTATCCTTCTTGTGTCGATCGTTAACTGTTGGTTGGGCTAGTTCTCTCGCCGGAAAAGGGCTCAGTTTATTTGTTTATTTTGTTTTGTTGTTCTAATCAGTGTGTTGTTTTTGTTGTGTTTTTGTTTGTTATGTGTTTTAGGTTTGGGCCGTTGGCCCCAGTGGCCCGAGTGTGACTTTATTATCTATCCTGTTGGGATCGTACACTTGGGCATTAGCCTGTTGGGGCCGTCTCTGTCTGTTTTTATTCTCCCTTTGGGAGGTTTTAGTGTCGTTGTGTTGTGTTTTTCGAGTATTTCACCGTTAGGGACGGTTCTAGGCGGGCATTAGGTCTGTTCTCCCAATTTATTCAGCTGTTAGCTGCTTGTATTTAGCCGTTGGCTGCTTGTATTCAGCTCGTGGCTGTACTTTTGCACATTTGTGCGCTTTTTATAAAATTTCTATCGTTCCGAAAAAAAAAAGGTTGGGTTAAGCTTGAGTTAAATTTGAGTTTTAATTGTTTTTTATCAGTCTAGTTTATTTCCAGTCACACCTTTAATTATGATTATAGTTTATTAACAGGCTTAATTATTATAATTTTGTCTTTAAAATATAATAATCATAAAGACATTTTAGTTCGTATAATTTCTTACAAAATAATTCATCCTTTTAACATATAACAATAATAAGAAAATAACAATTTTCAATTGATTAGATGTATACTTCTCAAACATGTAACTAATTTTATTTATTTTTCTTTATTTTATTTAAGTACCAAATCTTGCATTTATTTTATATGAAATAATAGATTGTTTCAGTAAAGAAGACAATGACACATAATCCAGCATGTAATTTTTAATCAATCCGTTTGTTTAATTTTATTTTATTATTATTATTTTTTTTTTAAAATTCAATAACCTTACGAAATTCTATGTTCGTTTTTTGTAAGAGTCCAAATATTTGATGAATCCTTATGTTTTTTTGAGTTCAAATGTTTGGTCTTTCACAATCAGACCTGCTTATACAGTAACAACATTTAATTTATTTTTTAATATTAAGTAGCTGCATATACATTAAAATTCTCAATTTTATTTCTAATATTGCCATTAAAAATATACTAGTATAAGGAATTTTTGATCAACTCTATTTTTTACAAGACGACTCCTTTTTATACTAGTGTAGATATTGTGTTCTTCACTTTGATTTTGAATTAGATCATTGAACACAAAGTTTGATAATAATATAGATACCATGCATTTCAACCCTTCAAAAATTTGGTAACTAGAAAAAATAAAAAATAAATGGTACGGATTATGTAAGTTCTAGCTGTTTGTATTATTACGTTTGCTGGGACGTCAATCCCAAAAAGGTTATTTTGGTTATACACTTATACTGATCAAAGGAGTGCATTTGTTATTCAGGGCAATTATGTCTTTGATGTCCCAGATGGCCATAAAATGCATGTCACATCAAGAAATTCAGGTAATGTTTTGATGTATTCAGCTTACATTGTTTCACTTATTCAAACTTTTCTTTTGTTTTCACTTGGAAGAGCTTATCAGAAAAATACATGTGTACTTTCTATGTTATGTGATGGACCTTTAAATTAAGCAGATCCTCATTTGAGATGCAGCTTCTTATATGTTATTCTCTAACATGTATAGTACTATTGATTACTAGTAACGACTACTGCAACTTGCACGTAAGTTCCACATTTTCACATTTCACTGTTCAGTTGAAAGAAGTGAATGTGAAATCAGGTTGGCGAAGACTTCTCTTTACGAAATTATTTGTCATGTATAAATGTTTTACTTGAGTATCTATTCGAAATCGCACTTCAGGTTTAGATGTCCAGTTGAAGCCGATTGAGGAGGGTTTGATGGACTCCGGAACCTGGTTTTGGAACTACAAATTAAGAGGCACACATATTGAGTTGGAATTGGTAGGGTGTGAAGACCAATAGTCCTCATTTTAGATCATGTGAATTATTGTTCACAGATTCATATATGGTCATTTGGTCAGGTGGTTGAACATAAGTTGAACCTGTTACTGACAATCCTATTTATTACATTATCGAGTACATGTAGGTACCATTTGGAGTCTACTGCTCTTGTATTTCATATGTAAAAATGTAAAAAGACATATAGTTATAGCATTTCAAAATTTCTTATTTCGCAGCACAAATTGTAAATATTACATTCGTGTTCCCATCTTTAATTTTTACTCACTTTAACTTCTGTTGTTTGTTCCTTGTTTTTCTAGCTTATCTTTTGCTTAGTGTTGTGATGTTATTGTTGGACTTGGTTGTTAGTAGATGTAATCGAAGGGTTCGAATCCTAGCATTTGCTTTTGGTGAATCTTTGTATTCTAGGCCACCGTGGTGTGGTTCTCCTTTTCTTTGATCTTAATGCTAGTTTGTCTTTCGGTTCCCTATTTTGAATTGAATGCTACCTGATGAAAACTATTCTTGAAGCGATTATTGGAGTAAGCAGCATGAGGTTTTGACTGAGATTTCATTTGTAGACCAAATCTAATTCTTAATATGGGTGGCCGACACCAAAGGTTTTCTCGCCACTCCTCTCTCTCCACATGAATATCATCTGTCAAATGTATGGTGCTAGCGTCGCTACCCATTTCGTGACTGCGAAATCTTGATCGAGCCATTGGTCGAAGGTTGGGTTGTCATAGTTAGAGGCGATGGTGATGGCGGCTCTTTCTCATTCGGTTGTTGTCTCAGGTTTGGCCGCTTTGAAGGATAGATCTAGTCCGACGGTGTCAATTCTAGTTAGCCCTTGGGAGAGTTGAGAGTTTCATAATCTCCTATTTTTGGGCTTGGTAGCAGAGCCGGCACTGGCCCAGGGCAACATGGGCTACGGCCCCAATTACATGGAGGGGCACCAAAGTCAACCCATACACCTTATATATATGTATATGTATGTAATATGTTTGTAAAGTAGTATAGTGTAATCATTGACAAGCCCACAATTTAGCCCTTAAAAATGAAAAAAAAAAATACCGAAAAGTGGAATAACTCAAAACACAAACTAATCAATCACTTCCTCAACTGCTCATCTTTCCCCATTTTTTTCCATTGCCCAAATTCTAACAGCCACATTTTTTTTTT